ATAAAGCTTACATAGTTAAGTTATAAGTCACATTGTTACATACTTATTTTGCAAAAAACTGCAGAATGTGAAGGCTGTTTTTGATGCGGCTATTAAGGTGGTTCTACAACCACCAAAGCAGAAGAAGAAAAAGAAGAGAAAGGGTCAGAAAGCCTGCTCTATCTTGTGATTTTTCCAAAAGAATGACTAAGAAATGGAGATGTAGACTTTTGTCAACCTATTCCTACTTCAAAGATTGCAGCATATTTCTTTACTGCTTGGTAGTCTTGACTAAACACACTAGAAAACCATCAACCTGGCTAGTGATTGAGATATGGTATGAGCAGAAAAGAGCGCTCTTCGTCTCTTTCTGAGTCAAATCTATATGATATATGTAACATTTAAGATGATTATTACTTGCCTTGGCATCTCATATGTATTGTTGTAGTGGCATCCAACACACTGATTTAGATTCTGCAAGAGGTTGGATGTGCTATTGTCATTGTGTTGAAACATTAAGATGTTGTAAACTTGTAATGTATGCTGCGTACAACAACAACAACGACGACATACCCGGTGTATTTCCACAAGTGGGGTCTGGAGAGGGTAGTATGTACGCATACATTACCCCTAACTTGTAATGTATGCTGCGTGTATATATTCAATGATTTCTTGGTTTCTTGATGGACAAGGCTTATAAATATTTTATGCCAATAAATGGGAGTATACTTTTGTGGTGTGAAGAAGTATCAGCTGGTTTTTAAACAAATTGCAGTGCAAGTGAAAGCTGCTTCCAAACCATTAGCATTTAGCACAGTTCCAACATGGACTAGGACTGAAGGACTGATCAATAAATAGAGTGGCAATCGTACTGGCATATCTCTCTTTTCCTCTTACAAGCAAAACTAACATGCTTAAGGAGCTAACAAAATCAAGAAATGCAGCTTTAATCTAAAACTTCCGCTTTTATCTAAGGTACTGTAATTGGGATTGATTTAGTTTTCACTGAGTACTCATAAGATAGAAAACAGATAACGGAAAGTAAAATGAAAATGGAAAAAATGAGAAAGGTTTATTTACCAAATAGTTCAATGTTGTCAAATTCTTGTGGATTTGACAGTTGCTCGTAGGTTCTAAATTTTAAGATACACTTGTTGAAATGTGGATCCTGTATTTCCTCAACAATGGTCTTCTGCGTGAATATCAATTCAAACTTATGGTCTTTGGTCTTCAGTTTCATATTATTTGGACAAATCACAAAAAAATTTATGATGTATAAACTCATTTCCTTAATTTCTTGGTTGAACCATTGGATAAGAGACCTGACAACACTTGCGTGAATGCGACCGCCCTACAAAAATACTCGATTAATTAAAAAGACTAAGTTATTTCGTATATGACTGTAATTAGCGTTGTGCATAATTTAATAAATACCGAATTACCGTACCGAAATCGAAAATTTTAGTATTTGGTATTCGATTTTTTGGAATTCGGTATGGTATTTGGTTTAATTTTAAAAAAATGGTATTAGATATGATATTTGGTATTTTAAAATGAAATACCGAAATACCGATACCGTATCGAAATATATATTATATTACACTATACACATATTATTAATTATACCATAAATATGAAAAATCTAAAATTTTACTTTCCTTTATTCTCTAAATTCATCAATTAACTCTAAGCAAGTAACAAGACATTTCTAATGATCAAATTTATTCTTTTATGTACGACTTTTCCTCTCTAGGTTGATATTTGTTGGCTTTGGACAAAGCTTTTCGTCAACAAACGTTTTTAGTTTTGTACATTTGAATACTTTGATTAAGAATATTACAGTCTATTACTCTATGAACTAGTTAGTATTCAAACCGAATAAACCGAAGTTACCGAACCGAATAAACCGAAACTGAAAAGAGAAAAACCGAACCATACTGAATTTAATTAGGTACGGTATTGGTATAGCATTTTAAGAAACTGAATACCGAAAATACCGAACCGAAGACAGTATAGTACCGTACCGTACCGTACCGACCGATGAACACCCCTAGCTGTAATATACTGATGCATATGTAAACAGTGGAAACTAGAAGTAAGTCTTAAGCTTAAAAACATAACCTTTTCATCCATTGGAATTACCTCAATTGATAAAAAGGACTACCAGGTCTCTCGCGATCCGGATTTTCCCAAAGCCTGACAATACGAATCTTTAATTTTCTGTTTATTGACTTGATGTTAATTTCGCTAATAAAATTACTTCCAGCCACCATTAATTCCTCTGTTAACAACAACATACCCAGTGTATTCCCACAAGTGGGGTCTAGGGAGGATAGAGTATACGCACACCTTACTCCTGCCTTTAAAATGCAGAGAGGCTGTTTCCGAAAGACCCTCGGCTCAGGAAGGGGAGAAGGGATAACACTCAACTACCTAACCCTTTATCTTAATTCTCAATCTCCACACTTTCCTATCCATGGTCATGTCCTTAGTGAGCTGGAGCAACGCCATATCTTGTATAATTACCTTTCCCCAATACTTCTTCGGTCTGCCTCTACCTCTCCGTCGACCCTCCCATACCAGCCTCTCACACCTCCTCACCGGAGCATCAATGCTCCTCCTCTTCATATGCCCGAACCATTTAAGTCTCGCCTTCCACATCTTGTCCTCCATAGGGGCCACACCCACCTTGTCCGTAATAACTTCATTTTTAATTTTATCCAACCTGGTATGCCCGCATATCCACCCAAACATTCTCATCTCCGCCAACTTTATCTTCTGGACATGGCATGTCTTGACCGGCCAACACTCCGCCCCATACAGCATAGTCGGTCTGACCACCGCTCTATAGAACTTACTTTTAAGTTTTGGTGGCATATTCTTATCACACAAAATACCAGAAGCGAGCCTCTATTTCATCCACCCCGCCCCAATACGGTGTGTGACATCCTCATTAATCTCCCCATTTCCTTTTATAATAGACCCAAGGTATTTGAAACTTTCTCTTTTAGGAATGACTTGTGATCAAGCCCCACGTCTTCGTCCTCTTCCTGAGTCGCGCCACTGAACTTGCACTCCATGTATTCTGTTTATGTCTTGCTCAACTTGAAACCTTTAGACTCCAAAGTTTGTCTCCAAACCTCTTACCTCTCGTTAATACCACAACACGTCTCGTCAATCAGTACAATATCATCTGCAAACAACATGCACCACGACACCTTCCCTTGAATGTGACGTGTCAGTGCATTGATCGCCAGGGCAAAACAAAAATGGGTTGAGGGCTGACCCCTGGTGCATCCCTATTATAACCGGGAAGTGTTCCGAGTCCCCTCCCACTGTCCTCACCCGAGTCTTAGCACCCTCGTACATGTCCTGAATAACCCTAATGTATGCAACAAGAACGCCTCTAACCTCCAAACATCTCCACAGTACCTCCCTCGGCACTTTATCGTAAGCCTTCTCTAAGTCGATGAACACCATATGTAAATCCATTTTCCTCTCTCTCTCTCTCTCTATATATATATATATATATATTACTCCATCAACCTCCTAACAAGATGAATACCTTCTGTAGTCGAACGCCCCGACATAAATCCGAATTGGTTCTCTAAAATAGACACAATCCTCCTCACTCTCAGCTACACCACCCTCTCCCATACTTTCATAGATGGCTCAGTACTCCATCTCCATTCCTCGGGCATCTTTTTCGTCCTAAAAATGACATTTAATAGCCAGTTAGCCATTCCAAGCCCGCCCTACCCACGTTCTTCCAGAATTCCACCGGAATTTCATCTGGCCCGGTCGCTCTCCCCATGCTCATATTACACATAGCCCCCTCTACCTCCGCCACTTTAATACGTCTGCAATATCCAAAGTCTCGAGGGGTCTCGAGGTTTTCTAAGTCCCCCAGCACAATGTTCCTATCCCCCTCCTCGTTCGGGAGTTTACGGAAGTACGCCTGCTATCTCTGTCGAATCAGAGCCTCGTCCAACAACACTTTACCTTCCTCATCCTTGATGCACTTCACTTGGTCCAGGTCATGATCCTTCCTCTCTCGCACTTTGGCAAATCTGTACAACTTCTTGTCTCCTCCTTTGCCTCCAAGTTCTTCATACAAGCGCTCAAATGCGGCAGTCTTGGCCACGTTAACTGCTAACTTTGCTTCCTTCTTAGCCACATTATACTGCTCCCTATTGGTCCTCTTCTCCTCCTCGTCCTTGCTTTCCACAAGTTTCAAATAAGCCACTTTCTTGGTTTCCACTTTACCTTGGACCTCAGTGCTCCACCACCAGTCCCCTTATGCAGCCACTAGACGGGCCCTTCGAGACCCCTAATATCTCCATAGCGGCCCCTCTAATGCAATTAGGAGTCGCGATCCACATACCACTCGCGTCCTCACTACTCTTCCATGCCCCATAGCTAGCAGCTTATCCCCTAACTTCTGACGCTGGCCTCAGTCAAAGCGCCACACTTAATCCTAGGAAAACCATACTCAACCCTCTTTCTACGCTTCCTCCTAATTCCACTGTTAATTAAAGTGTGTAACTGATTTTTTGGTTCTCATTATAAATAATGGAGTAACAATCATTCAAACAAGTTGTATATGATTTTCTTAATATGTAAGTCAAAATCTTTTAGAATCATTAAACCACATTAATTGTAAAAGAAGGTCTTAAAAATTATCGGCCTTCAAATAGGTATAAATAGCATTAATTTCAGATTCCATAGACATAGTTGATTGTACCTCTTTTCTCCCTCCTGTCCTCTGTGATTTCCCTTGTAATCTACACAATGAGTATGACCCCTTCGTTTCCTCCATTCTTTTTCCGCCATTGAAAGTGACATGCATCTCAGCACTCCCCTTTTTAGCACTTTCTAGCAACTCCCCATTTTTTATAATACTTTTAAAAAATCGACGTGGCCTTAATTTCTCTGTAGCTTCTCGTGATCTTCTTGAACTCTGTTTATAATCCGAAACGCCAGTACGCCACTCCAGTACAAGTGCTCCATTGTAAGTACGTTTACATATTTCTGAATAATTTAGCTCAAGATATATGCCGTTTTAACTTTTTCCTTCTATGTTATGATGTGACAAAATCTGGGTTTTTTGGTGCATACATGGCTTGTACTCACATTTGCTTTAGGATTTTTTAATCTTGTTTTGAGATAGTCTGAAAATAGTTGAATGGATGTACATGATTTATATAGGGACCATAATTAGTGTGGGATTGAGGCGCAGTTGCTGTTGGTCAGAGAGGGTGGAGGCAGAGGGATCACGCTTTAAAATCTGAGGGTTCAGTGTATTATGCGCGTGTCACTGTGTGCGTGTGTGTCTGTGTTTTGCTTTGTGTATATGTATACATCGATTGAGCCAAAAGTAGTGGGAATCTGCATCCCAAGGAATAAAGATCGATACTCCTTTACAGTGGATTGAGGCTGGTTAGTTTCAGCTATCTGATCTTGAACTTACTAAAACTTTTTGCTGGAATTTTAGGTTATCAAAGCTTCAATTTTCCTTGCAAAGAATATATATCTTACCTTTGTGTTGTTAAAGTTTTCAACTTTTTGCTGTACCCACATTTGCTGTAGGATTTTCTTAAAATTTTCTTTTTTCTTGTTTTGAAATGGTCTGAACCAAGTTGAATGGATATAGAGAATTCATATATGGACAGCAATTAGTGTGGGATTGAGGCGCAGTTGTTGGTGAAAAGGGGGCTTCATGCTTTAAATTCAGAGGGTTCGGTCTATTTTATATATACGTGTGTGTGTGTGTGTTAATTTTCATGTTTATATATATACATAGATTGAGCCAAAAGCAGTGGGAGTCTACATGCTAAGGATGGATCCTCCTTCACGCTGGAGGGCACTGGCTAGTTTAAGCTACCCGATCTTGAACTTAGTAAAATGGCTTGTTATAATTTCGGTTATCAAGACTTCAAATTTCCTTGCAAAGGATATTTATCCTACATTTTCTGTTGTTAAAGTTTTCACCTTTTTAGCGAATTCTTGCATTTTTTTCTTCTATTTGGAGCTTTGTCCTCTTAAGGATTGGATAGTTGTATAACATCTAGATAGGAGTCCCTTAATTGTTTGTGGTTCACCTTCAGGTTCTTTTGGATATCTATAATGCACAACAGGGAGCTACATTTCTCTAACCAAGAAATGGGGTCAAGTTCTAATTTTGGTGAAATTCCAGAATGTAGTTCCACTAAAAGGCTTTTCAATGAAATTCTCTCGGACATGCACGCTTGTATTCATACCCACACTTGCAATCCACCTGGTCCTGATAACTCACACACACACACTTGTTACCATGTTCACACCAAGGTTGTTCCTCCCCTAAGTGATGATACTGCAGAGTCTGCAGAGAATAAGATAGGAAAGAAACGCCCTTTGAGTAATGAGGAAGCAGTTCGCAAGTACCGTGAGAAAAATAAGGCTCGGGTTGCATCATTAGAGGATGAGGTAGTGAGGTTGAGGGCTATAAATCAGCAACTGTTGAAGAGGTTACAGGGCCAATCCGTCTTGGAAGCTGAAATTAGCAAGCTCAAGTGCTTGCTTGTGGATATCCGAGGAAGGATTGAAGGTGATATTGGATTTTTTCCGTATCAGAAGCCAATGAAGAGTGGGAACATATATCAGAATCTTGTTAATCCTAACTATCCTGGAGCTTATGTGATGAATCCTTGCAACCTACAATGTGACGATCAGGTTTATTGTCTACAGCCGGGTTCGGGAGAGTTAAATGGACAAGGCCTAAATAGTTGTGGATTTCAGACTCGTCAGTGTTTTTTGGGTAATCAGGAACCTAAGGAAGTTACTGGCTGTGCATGGGGCTATGGTACTCCTACTGCTGAGGCTTCTTCCGGGAATAAGAGAAAAGGTGAAGTGAATTCATTTGCATTTCTTGTTTCTGGCATATTATTCGAAAATTGATGAACGTTGACCATCTATACCTGAACTCAACAAAACATCATCCTCTTAGTACACATGAAATCTGTCTACCATTTAGATTTAGGTCTAATAATCTTCGTAAAATTAGGAATTCATCTTCTTCAGTCACACCATGCTGGTGATATATATTAGGCTGAATCCTATAACCCTTTGCGTTTGAGGCCTTCACTTAACATGTTCTAAACTATAGTTTATTTCGTTGAAAGAAATGATAACCTATGAAAAATATCTCTTAAGAGGTCAGTTAAAACGCTTTACAAATTTGCATGCAAAGAAAACTTTCTTATCTGTGAAGACTAAAAACAGCATATGCTTCATAATACATACCAAAGTCAAAGTTCTATAATGGCTTAATATTAAACTCTCAAGGTCCAATTTTTTTTTGTGTATTATGATACTTACTAATTATATAGCACTTATATTGTTCCAGTAATTTGACATTAAGTAAATAACAACACAATTAAACATTTAAGTTTTAGTTTTTACTTTCACATTAATATTGTAGGCAATCATAATTTAAATTTGAAGCAAATGATATAATCCAAACATCATCATCAACAACAACAACAAACCCAGTGTAATCCCACAAGCGGTGTCTGGAGAGGGTAGGATGTACGCATACTTTATCCCTACATTCAAGAAGGCAGAGACGCTGTTTCTGGAAGACCCCCGGCTTAGGAAAAATAAAAGAAAGGCAGCAACAAGCATACCAATTAGAAAACCGAAGCAAAAATACAAAGTTACAAAACTAAAACTAAGTATTGTAATCGGAAGGTCGGAACAAAAGCAACGACAAGTAAACACAGGAGTCAAGGAATACGAAAATACATAATTAATGCTAACTCATGTACTAAAGCTATTATTACAGACAAGGACAACGCTGGACGACCTATCCTAACTCTTTACCTTTATGCTCAATCTCATCACCTTCTTATCCATGGTCATGTCCTTAGTGAGCTGGAGTAACGTCATATCTTGTCTAATCATCTCTCCCCAATACTTCTTCGGCCTACCTCTACCTCTCCTTATGCCCTCCAGGGCCAACCTCTCACACCTCCTCACTGGTGCATCTTTGCCTCTCCTCTTCACATACCCGAACCATCTTAGTCTCGCCTCTCGCATCTTATCCTTCACAGAGGCCACGCCCACCTTGTCCCATATAAATTCATTTCTAATTCTATCTAGCCTGCTATGCCCGCACATCCATCTCAACATCCTCATTTCCGCCACCTTCATCTTCTGGACATGGGAGTTCTTGACTAGCCAACACTCCACCCTATATAACATAGTCGGTCTGACCACCGCTCTATAAAACTTATCTTTAAGTTTAGGTGGCACATTCTTGTCACACAAAACACCTAAAACGAGCCTTCATTTCATTCATCCCGCCCCAATACGATGTGTAACATCCTCGTCAATCTCTCTATTCCCTTGTATAACCGACCCAAGGTATTTAAAACTCTCTCTTCTAGGGATGACTTGAGAGTCAAGCCTCACTTCTTCGTCCACCACTTGAGTCGTCCTACTCAACTTGCACTCCAAGTATTATGTCTTGGTATTGTTCAACTTGAAACCTTTAGATTCTAGAGTCTGCCTCCAAATCTCTAACCTCTTGTTAACACCGTCTTTATGTTGTCAGCCAAATCCCTAAGAGCTTTGTTTTCATTTATAAACAAACATATTTATCTACGTCTTTATGTTAGCTATTGCTTCTTTTTTTTAAAGTTAAAACGTGTTTCTGTGTATTAGTTGGATCTAGCAGCAAAAAGACACAGAAGTTTGATGTTTGAGTTTACTTCCCTAATGAGCTGAATTAAGAAGCTGATTGATAGAACGAGTATAGTATGATGTTTTCAGCTGTGCTTTCAGATCTTCGTATCCTTTTTGTACATTGATCTTCGCTTTGTTTTCTTTTAGGAGGGAAACATGAAGCAATGGCGAGCTGGTCATGATCTGAAGGAGGTGTCTTTGGTCTGGATAATAATGTATATCGTATTATGTTTCTTCTGCTTCTTTGGGATTTCCTTCCGGTATCTCTTCTTTGCTAAGTTCAATTTTATAATATTTCCCTGCTTCGAGTTGGTGGTCTAATGTGTGTTTGGATTTACAGTTATTTATCTAGAATAATGGATTTAGTTAGTACACACTTAAATAGGCGACATGGATAGTGCGGATTCATATAGCTGACCCCAATAACTTGAATGAGGCCTAGTTGTTGTAAAGGATTAGCTAGTAGACATGAAGATGAGATGAAGATCTGGAAGCTTTGTTCCTCAGCCGAGGAGTATTTGTTTTGTCCTTTTGATAAATACTCCTCTTGCTCTTGAATATATTCAATTGATAAGATTCATGTCTATGTCATGTGAAGTTCGATGCAGTGAACACAACAAAGTTTACTTTGTTGATAAGCTTAAAGATGAGACGACTATAAACTGACTCTTTTTCAAAGTGGATTGGGATGGTTCTTAGTTTTTTCCATCATTGTTTTACTTTATGAGTAAGTGTTTTTGTATGTTTCCCATGATCTTTCCCCACTATTTTTCCTTTTCTTTTTTATTTCCGGGGGGGGGGGGGGGGGGGGATGTATAGGATGCAAAATAGATTCTCCTGTTTGTTCCCCCATCTAATGGTGTATAATGGACCACCCCAGCATACAGAAAAGAGATTTAATTAGGCCTTTAATTAGTTAGAAACTCTTTTCATTGCAAAGTAGGGACACTCATCTGGAAGAAATGGTGACTTTTGCTTAGATCATATATTCGTATTAGAAAATTCATTAAATATGTTTAAATATCTGTTTGAGAATTTAGTACTAAAACGAGTTATGAGTTTGATGGCAAGTTCAGAAATCATAAATTTCAAATTATGACTTACCTCTGTCACTAACATATGTTATGCTACATTGACTACTGACCAAAAGCCACTTCATTACTCATCAATATGCAAGACAATTACGTATGCCTCGGACTAATAGGAAAAGACAATTACTGAGTGCCCTATTCGGCTTCCCTTTCTAAGTTCTAACTGCTCATCCTCAATCCTGAAGACAAAAATGACCAATCACATAACTGAGATTTATATTTTTGACAGATTGTGAAGAGCGTTTTCAGTACTTCAGTAGTTACCATTTGGTTCTTTAATAGGCAGCTTGAGTTTTTGTTTTTATTTTTTGTGTGTAGCGTCCAACTGGCCCATGGTTTATGTTGGAGAAAGACACAATGATTTAGAGCCTAGTTACCATTCGTAGCTAATGTTCAATCTTGTATCACTTGTATTTATTTCCTCTAAAATGATTGTATCAACGCATACAATACTAGCTACTGTTCAGTTGTTACCAGCTTGTATCACTTGTATTCGTTCGCTTTATATGGTTGTATCAACGTATGCAATACATTGAAATACAATGATACATACAGTTACTATATCACTGCATGTGATTCTATACACTATATATACTGTATTTACCATTGGGATTTTGCAACAAAATACAAAGAGTGGCTACGAATCGTAATTATTTCAAAGTGTATTTATGTATGGTTAATACAATATATAAGTTAGTTACACCATGTAATTCTTCCATCAAATAATAACCCAAAATTTGTAGTGTGTTTAAGTATTGTTAGAGTGGATCTGGCCCAATATAGGCATCGTAAGCTTGGCCCAGTGGTATCTTTCCTATACAATATTTAGAAACTTATTTACCAAAATTGTCCTAATTTTGTATATTATCCGTCCTAAATAAGGATAACTTACAATTTATATACAATCAATTATTAGTACCTTAAATTAGGGGATTCAGTTACACACTTTTTCTTTTTTCTCTCCTCTTTTCTTTCTCTATTCTCTATCTCCTCTATTGATATATAATCCATTATTAGTGCCTTAAATTATGGGATTCAGTTACACCATTTTTCTTTTTTCACTCCTCTCCTCTTTCCAATAGTGCCTTAACTATACTATAGCAATTCCAATAATGTCGAACCACAATGACATAAAATAGTTCAAGACTTAATTGAGAACCAAATTTTATAAAACTATTTTAATAGCTTGAACCAAAAATTAAAGTTGCGCCAAACCAAAGTAATAGAGACACTGACGATAGATAGTACCTAAACCAGACAAGTTGAATGTTGCAATATTCAATCGATACATCTACAAAACATATAAACTAAAAATAAATTTTATACAACTAATTATATAGCATAAAACTTATTTATAACCTATCTATAACATTCATACATCATTTTTACCCAGCTAAAAATAACTACAACATCATACAACTTAGATACAATTTTTATACAAATTTTATACAAATATATCGGTTATATGTATTTTGTATATGATTTGTATATATTTTGTATGTGGTGTGTTCTTCTTCTCTGAAATTCCAATCAAAACTTTCTCTCTTAATGCAATTTTGATACATATCAACAATTTTATGTAAAAGAAAAGTATTTGTAAGGGAAAATATATAGACGGCCCCTTAAACTTGGCTCCAATTTCCACTTTGACACTTTAACTTAGCGCTTTTCCTATTGAACACTTTAACTGTATTTTGGACTAGGCCATTTAAACACAACGCATAACCGGCCAGAGGAGTGTTAGTTCCACATATGATAAACGCGTGAATGTTATTATTTTTTGCTTAGGTAAATATTCCAACGGTAAAAAAAACCTACCCATTAGACCCACTTTAAAATACCCCATTTTCTCATAATTTCTCTCAAAAAGCCCTAATTCTTCTTTCGTCTTCTTCCTCTTTCAAAGTCGCCATTTTTCCCTTCAACTGAAGCTTGGGTGCCCAAGCTTGAATCTTTATCTAATTTCTTCCTCATCTTTCTCGTTTATCAGTTCCATGTCGCAAAAATCAACAACTTCTCGCAATGGAATGGATATTTGTTACTGTGGGTTTAATACGCCACTGACTATATCATGGTCACTTGCAAACCCAGGTCGTCGATTTTATGGTTGTAAATTGGTAAGTCGATCGAATTGCTTTTCTTAGACCCTTAAATTTCTTAAAAAGGAATTCTGTTTTTAATTATTTTGTCCACATTTCTTTTTAAATTTTGTAGGGTCGAGGTGGCTGCAAATACTTCAGATGGCATGACGATGAAATGCTCGACCAAGCTAAAAGGGTTATACGGGGTCTGTTGAAGAAAGTCGAAAGAACTGAAAAAATAGTTGCGCGGTTAAAGTGGTTATTTGTTGTGGTGGTGGTGGTGTTTTTAAGGAACTGGCTTTGCTGATGCTGGTGGTTTGAAGAACAATGTAGTATTTTTATGATATGCTGGTGATAATGGTGTTGTAGTTGCTGCTATTAGTTCAAGAACAATGTAGTATGTTGGAAGTGGATACTAGGAATTTAGCCTTTTGTTAATGTACACTATCTTGTTATGAATGAAATGGCAATGACCAATTTGTTGATGCAAATTTAAGTTCAGCTGCACTTCCATATTGAGTTATGAATGAAATGCAAATTCATATTCATGAACTGAAAACATAATTGCCCAAACATATTTATGAATTGAAAACATAACCGCCCAAATATTCAATTGCATAATGTGATGAACTAGCATTACATCGAAGCTCAAAAATAGAGCATTGTTTTGGTCTACAAAATACAAAAACAGAGCATTGTTTTGCCCAAACAAAGAACTGGCAGACCAAATGTGTAATGACTGCCCAAACTACTAAGCTTCGACAGAGCATAATGTATCAAACAGAGCATAACTACCCAAAAATAAACTGGCAGTGACATCTCAGATAATATAAACAAAAGTTGGTTTGCTTCACAGTGTAGATACAACTGAACTTGTTTGACTTAAAGGGCCTTTTTTCCTTGTTGCACTCATCTTGTGACCTTGTCATTGCATTTCTTTCTTCAAACTTCAATCTGGTGGGCATAAATCCAATGTCTATGTTAGTTGCAGATATATCCTTGAATGTCCCAGCTAATATGACTCTCTCAGATGATATACCAGGCTGTAAAAAATAATGAATTAGTTAAAAAAAAAAAAATTCCAGCCCAAAAACTGTATTACAATATACTATACACCCTTACATTCATGATAGTAGTTTCAGTCATAGTGTCAGTGAAAATCTCAAAACCAGTATGCCTTGGCCTTTTATGTCCAATGGTTGATGCATTAGTCGAGCCTCCTCCTAGTGCAGTTCCTCTTCCTTCTCCCCTGTCTAGTCCAGGGCCTCCTGTAGATTGAGATGTTGAAGGTTGTGTGCTAGTAGAGCTTCCTGTAGCAGATGTGAATACATCCCTACCAATGCCAAGTGCAGTTCCTCTTCTTTTTCCCCTGCCTAATCTAGGGCCTCTTCCTCTTCCTCTTCCCCTACCAAGCCCAGTTGATTGATTGTTGCTTTGTCTTTTGACAATACTTGTATCCTCACATATAGATGATGGATTGCTTTGTTGAGATGGTATTTCCCGAGATAATTTTGGTGGAGGTGGTGCCATATTTTGACTTTGTTAAGTAGCACTTCTTGGAACATGCTGACAGAAGTAAAAGAAAAGAATCTAAGAATTGCAAAGAAAAGAATGTAAAAGAAATAGTAAATAGACAAGTACAATTATCAGAACTTACTATGTTCCTGCATCCAGATTTGTTGTGTCATGTTTGTTGGCAGTTTGAACAAGTCATCTTTACCCCTTTCTTTGATAGTTTACCATATTTTTTTCTTGGCTCATCCTTGGCTTTTCTCCTACATCTCTTTAGTCGACTTTGCATAGGTTTAGGTTCATAAGGCTTTTTACATAGATTTGTTGATTATGGCCGCATCTTCATGTTGGGAATTGGTTGAATGAAATGCTGGTAAGCTTTAAGGGAAGTTTCCTTCCTATACCAGCGGGCAACATAATCATCTGGATCCATTTCTCTATCATAGAATGCACATACTGCATGTTGACCTAGAATGCTCCTCAACATCCATGATCTACAAGTACATGTCATGGTCCTAAAATTAACAATGAATATGTATACACCTTCATCAACCTCAAACCCATGTTCTGTATTCCACATAACCTTACACCTCCTAGAGATGGCTTTGTTCTCTTCCAGTATCATCCTAGCCAT